TGCTCGTTGCATTTCTTCCTGAGGGTGAGCTTTTGTTGGCAAGATTCAGATTTCATGTTTCCCCAAAAGAAACGATCATCAGTTGGCTTGATTCTATCGTATTTGTTCCAAATGATTTTTTGGAAAAAATTACAAATAAAATACATTCACCTATACAGAATTCAACAAAAGATAAAACAATTTAATGAAGAAGACAATAGATATCCTTAACGATAGTGCGAGTCTCGGATGCCAAAGGTCAGAAAGGGATGTGCGGCTTCAATGTAAATATTGAAATACTGACATCGATTTCACCGGGAGTGTGTGGGTGTGGGTGGATGTGGGTGTGGGTGTGGGTGGATGTGGGTGTGGGCGTGGGTGTGGGTGTGGGTGTGGGTAGGTAACTCCTGTATAACTATCCACACCCACACCCCACACCCACACCCACACCCACACCACACCCCACACACACCCACACCCACATCCACTCCATCGATTTTCCACATTACTAATAAAACTAATGCATTTTCAATGAATATACACTAGGTCTTGCCGAGAGTTTGTTCTTTTTTGGAAGCGATTATGCACAATAACATGTTGTCTTAAATTAAGCGTTGAAAACGGCCACACAATATTGCAAATTATTAGTGATAACTCAGTAATTTTTCAGCCTTTTTCAAAAACTGAAATGTAGTGTCGTAAGACACGAGATTGATAAGTGCATTATTATTTGGGACATGTACCCTATTACATATATTTAACTTGTTTAGAGTACTTCATATGGTCGATTGCTGTTTCTTCTTAAAAATATGTTTTTACAGAGTCGTTGATTGATGGGATACCCACAATGTGAAACACGATTTTTTATGAGCACTGAATGGTTTTTGGGCCTCGAATACTTGAATTTTGAATACTTTCTAATCTTTAATGGATTCAAAATTGTCAAGTTCAGAAAAATCGTTTTTCTCGCTTACGATAACACATATCTTCATATACAATTAAAACAGTTTCATTCTGTTTCGTATTTTAATCTCGTAGCGATTTCGCTAAAACTTTTTATTCAAAGTTAAAGCAATATTAATGTTCTTTCATGTGATAAGTGTGGTGTTGGGTCGCAAACGTTGAAACAGACTATGAATTGCTTCAATTTCCATAGTAGCAAATGAATTGTTGGAAATGTCAAGGTACTGGAGACTGGGAATATTGAGAATACTGATTGGAAGATAAAAAAGCTTATTATGATTTAATGATAAGCGCCGAAGGTTCTGTAATTGATCGATACTTGGAGGAATCGACGACAGGCTTGTATTGTCCAAATCAACCGACATTAAATTGATGAAAGAGCTAATTTTCGCCGCATGCTTCAATGAATTATTGTTCATAGAAAGCTTCCCCAGACGTTCTGGATTTGTAAGAGTAGGAATTTCGGTAAAGAGGCAATTGTCCAGAACCAGATAGAAAACATTATTGAATCCAGAGATTTGCGATATAGGATTGTTGCTCAAATCAACATTGGATAGATTGGGAATATCCTTGAGATTCGACAAGTGAGTAAGAGAGCAATTAGTTAAGTATAATGAATACAGCCGAGAGAGCTTGCCCAACTGATCTGTCATTTGAACAATTGGAATATTACGAATGTCTAGTCTCGTGAGTTTTACCAATTTGTTCAAGTCCTCGGGAACCTCATCTAAATAAATAGACACATCCGTTCATTACAAACAATGACGATTATTATGTTTCCAATAAAAGCCATCTCACCGTTCAGAAAAGGTGTCCTAAAGATTTCTAAAGTTTCAACATTTTTTAGACAAAAGACGCTAAGCGGCACATGGCTTTCTTGGGAGAGTCTTAACCACTGCACATATGTGTTATTGACATCCATCGTAGCATAAGTCGGCATTGGATAGACCCACGTCGTCGGATTGACTGTAACGGAGAATGGAAAGCTCATGAGAATGTCGCGGTCATTGTCAAATTGGCTGCAGTTTACACTTATTGTACTCTTGTGATCTGCAAATGATATATGTGTGAAATAAAATATACTTTTTAGTTCATATAAGGTGTGGAAAAAAGTTTGCAGCAATTTTCATATCGGTATAGTTTTGCAACTACTTGAGAAATTTTAACAAATAAATAGTCATTTGAAAGAACATTTCAAAATGTACTTATTGTGTAAAAGTAAAGGTTCTAATTCAAGAAGTAAGAGAGTCGTTAAACGAAGTGTGTTACATGCATTTTTGGTTCTCCAAAAATAACGACTAGGGCAGATTGAACGACCGCATTTTGCATTTCAATTTTCCATCACTTAATACATTGTATTCGAAAAACAAAATATGCCACAAGATGCAGTGTGAAAAGCTCTACAATTTACAAAGAACAATTGATTTGTTAAAATTGCTCAAGTAGGTGCAAAAATATACCGATAGGAAAATTGCTGTGAACTTTTTTCCATATATTATTATCCATTTTAAAATAAAAGAAGGGCGAGCATTTTTGTAATATCTTTTGATCAGAACAAGATAGCGATCTGAGGCTTTCACCGTTTACAAGAGGCAATGAAACCGTATCGAAGCGTGTATGTTAAATTTTTCCGACAAGTTTTCGTAGAGTTACAGTCAAGTTTTTTAAAAGATCGAAACTTTTAAGAAGTGGATAAGGTATTTTTTATCAAAAAATAAGGAAAGAAATTCGATTTTCGGTGAGAAATCGGCCTAGGATTCACAGTAAAATGTCTACAACTAATTATTGGCTAAAGTTAGTAACGGTGAGCTTGCATAATTGATAGATTTGGTAGATCTTTAGCTAGCGATTCTAGTGGACTCCTGAAAATTA